ATAGACACAAAAACATGAACAGTTTTGTTTTTCATTTATTTTTTTTGCTAAAAATCTGTAAATTCCTCCAGACCAAGTCCTTTCTTGCATCTTCTTTAAAGCAGAAGGCTCTTGCACTGACCTTTCTTGACCATTCGTGCAGCAACTGTGTACTGGGTGGAGTCATTGGCTGCTCCTTTGCCTTTTGTCTTCCAGGCATCCTCACGTGTTGAAATCATCTGTTTCCTCTCCTCGATTGTCATCTGGGCCTCAGTTTCTTCTCCAGCCTTCTGCGCAGAGATAACAAGATACAAAATAAGAAAGCTTATTAGGTTGAAGGGCCAAAGCTAGTAAAGAGAGCACCCTTCATCAATTTAGCTTATTTCCACTCATAGTAGATTTATTTTGATATAATCTACTGATAATTTCAATCACTGGAGTGAAAGAAATCATCAATTTAATGTTGTTTAAATGCTGAATTTTTACATCACATCCCACAAAACTTCACTTTCACTTCATATTGGAGCTTCTGCCCCTCGATCCAATTATTCATGGCATGATGACATCAACTCAAGTAGAAAGAAAGATTAGATGCATCTAAGCATGCAGGGTGCAGGGTTATCCAGTCCCCTTCATCCTGTTAGAAGCCACAGTCTTAATTCATGCTGTCATGAGCACCAACTCATCTTTACATTGCAAGGAGAACCTTTTGCTGTGGCAAGCAAACAATGACCAGAGCAAAGCTCATGCCGTCCACTAGAGCAGTCCTACCTGTCTATGATCATCAATATACTGGCACTTTTGGCCAAGGGAAATGGAAGGAGAAAAGGTGGAAGAGAAAACAGGCTCCTGAGGACGGAAACATGGTTTTAAAATTGAATAAAGGAGGAAATGCAAAAACATAAACTGACAGCAATGGAAGATGACAAAAGTTGGATGTTGAAGAGAAAAAGATGGATTCAGAACCTGGGAAGTATGATTCAAAAAGAAAAAGTCGGGGCTTAGCTTCCTTTGTAACAGCTGGGAAATGTATTTTGCAGCAAAACATAATATAAAATCCAATCTGTAAATATAAAATCTATCAACAAAATAGTTCCTTTAGTTTTTCTGAAATAAAATCCTCCCTCAAGGGAACATTAAATGCTGGAAACATCACTGGTGTAAAAAAAATAAGTCCCTGAGAGATGACAGTATATTAGTTTTAGTAAATTAGTCGATCCATGCACAATTCTGTGGCTTAGAGTGCAAACGGGTTAGTATTAAGCTCTTTACCTTTTTTTCTGCAAACCTTTCCTGTTTTAGATTTTCACTTTTTCCTTTTTAAATGGATCCTTCACAACTCAGTTGGCTGCCTGAATATCTGTCAAACTAGTATTTTCTAATTAAACAATATCTATGGAAACCATATGTTTGTTCTTTCATTTAAATACAATATTTTAACATTACCACAGTTCTTCTGCTACAACGTGTTTCCCAAGATGGCCATGAGAAAAACAAAACTACAAACAACATAAAGTATCTATATCAGATGGTTTATGCCAAGAGACCTGCAGTTATCTAAGCCTATATATAAAGAAAATAACACACTTAAACAATGAGCAAATTTTAATGTCCCACAGCATTATCCTGCCAATGCCATGCTTGGAGATTGTTAGTATAAAAAACCCATTATCCGTCAGTTGGTACCAGCAGCAAAGCGACAAACAGAAGTATGGAGATACACAAAAAAAGGTAAAAATATATTCAAAAGGATTAAGAAATATCCTTCTGGACATCTGTAGAAGTGCTGGATTTTAAAGACTCACACTATCTATTCTGAAAATGCATTTTGGTCATTGTGGCGAGAAGATAATTTTCATTTCATCTTAAATCAAACATTTGCTTTCCATGTGGGCAGCTGCTAATTTAAGCCAAACTTGAAGTTTTCAAATTTCTGGATTCTTTATTTGTTGTTATCTTTGCTGTTGACACTGCATTTTATATTGGTTCACACATACAGTGTTAGGAGAATGCAAGAAAGGCCGAGCAGATTTAAGAGAAACAGCAAGTGCACTCACACTAACACTGTGATTGGACAGCAGAGTTACCGCTCAGAGCTGATAGGTTTAGAGCTGCTGGCAATGAGCCTTACCCATAGCTGTTCAGACCCAGAGACAGCAGACTGGTCCTGGGCAACCACCCCTTCCTCCTGAGGGGTTCAAACACAGAGAAAGGACTCAGTCAAAGGGAGTTGGGGGGTGTTGTTGCTAAAGATTTGGTGAGGGAAACAGCAAGTGGGATTCCAAGGCCTAAAGTGTCTGTTTCTTCCAACAGAATACTAATCTGAAGCCGGCTTTAGTCTTATTGTTACAGGTTCAAAACATCATTAGGAACTAAATTACAGAAATATAACATGACTGCCCTCATTTCAAATATTACATGAAATCTTTCAATATTCATTTCAAGTAGTTTCCATTTACAGTAGTTTATCCACATCGTGTACTCCCTTCCAAAGATTTTTTTATTCGTATAAACAGTTTTTTGCCAAACTAGTTTGAAGAGAGGTGCTTAGAAATGTTCAAAAAAAAATAAACTGTTGTTATTATAGTCACCCTGAGAACATCTGGACACACCTTCATCTGGCTGGTCTGCTCCATCTCCCATTGCTCAGGCTGCTCGTCGGCTGATGCTACTTTTACCACTTCTTGCTTCTTGTTGATGCGGTTCTTCCAGTCTTCCTCTCCACTCTTCTTCAGCAGTGCCACTCTAACAATCAGCATAGATTCAAATAAAAGGCTTAAAGACGACTGATCTGAAATAATCATAATTCATAAATTTTTTAGTACATAGATGTCTGTATGCTAAAAAACTGGATTTTTCTTAGTTGTAGAGTAAGATAATTCTACTATAACTAAAGGGGAATTTATCATATATATATATATATATATATATATATATATATATATATGAACATATGGTTTCCATAGATATTGTTTAATTAGAAAATACTAGTTTGACAGATATTCAGGCAGCCAACTGAGTTGTGAAGGATCCATTTAAAAAGGAAAAAGTGAAAATCTAAAACAGGAAAGGTTTGCAGAAAAAAAGGTAAAGAGCTTAATACTAACCCGTTTGCACTCTAAGCCACAGAAATGTGCATGGATCGACTAATTTACTAAAACTAATATACTGTCATCTCTCAGGGACTTATTTTTTTTACACCAGTGATGTTTCCAGCATTTAATGTTCCCTTGAGGGAGGATTTTTTTTTTTTTTAGATCAACAGACTAACTACAAACTTGTTTTTATGTATGGAGTTGGTCATTTCCTCTTTTAATTCCAGGACTTCCAAAGCTGTGGATCTCTGTGATCTAAACTCATACTTGGTTTCAGAAGGCAGTTTGTGTTTATCATTGTTCCAATCTGCTAATAGAGAGTATATCTAAAATATTGGAAAACTTAGGGAGTAGAGAAACAGGACTATAGTTTACTAACTGTTGTTTATGTTCAGTGTTTGTTGTAGGATTATTGCTGTTTACATTTTGTTCAGAAGTTGACTCATTTGCCAAGAGGGTTACAGATATGGGTCAGTGGTTTAACAGTTGCACCAATAACTCTTGATTGTTGTCATATTGATATCAACACTCTTAGTGGACCATTTACCATGACATTTTATTAGCTAGAAAAGCACTAAAAGAGTGCAGACCTTCACTAAGCAGTAGCTAAATTTAAAGGAATTTTCCTTGGACTGAGGTGCACCTTTGGTAAAAAATGTATCAAAACTTGACAGACAAACACAAACCCAACTAAAAGCATAACCTCCTAATTGGCAGAGGTAACAACAGCTATGACCTCTCAATCTTCCGCTACTGTGAGAAAAATAGAATTAAGATTTTCTTTGTGATAAGTACATCACAGCAGCTCTCTTTTGTCCCAGGATTAAAACTTTTTTCTGTCCGTTTTGGACTGACGTTTATAGAATACTCATTAAAATTTTAATAATTTGAAATTAATAATCTTATTGTTGCATTTTAATGGCATTATTCAATATATTCAATATGCTGATAATAACTATATCATGCTTATCTAATACTGTAGTCTACTATAATATTCCTCTTTGGATGTCCTTACGATTCTGGTTCTTTTCTTCTTATATTTTTATATCTTTTTTCTGTCTCTGCCATTCTATTCTGACTTCTCTATATGGTGAGCTCTTATTTAACAGTTATTTTACAGTCCTTTAGTGATTCATGGAATATCAGAATGTTTAACTTTTTGATGTATTTTATAATTGGACAGTTTATCATATGAATCTATGAGTATGTTTGGGAATGTTTCATTAGCTTTTTTTTTAATATATTTTATCTAAATGCAATCAGTGACTCCACTGCTCTCCTCCTTAAAAAAAGTCGAAAGCACCAGTAGCCACTGATATGATCAATAAAAAAATACTAATTGCATTGTTATCTATAATGTTTTTTAAATATATTATCCATTAATGTGACTCTCTGAGATGTGACAGTTTATTCAAGTGTAGCGGTTGCTGGAAAAAAGGCACTAAATCTCTTAGCAAGCAAACATGGCTTCTAAAAAAAACCAAGTTCATGAGCTAATAATAAACAGCTAAAGGGTAAAAGACATCAAGTCGGGTTTCCTGCTGTTTTAGCACAAAAAAGCCCAGAATATTCGGTCATTCTGAGGATTTCAGAGGAGAGCAGCTCTGTATTGGCTTCAAAAAAATTAAAAACCCATAATTATAGCATAAAAAGTGAATCTTCAGTGATTCAAAAGAGGTGAAAACCTTACTAAGATACAAAATTACCTCTGTTTTAGTCTATAAATACAGAGGATTTTACTGTTTTTTGACAAATTAGAAAGAGCTGTGTCAGACCCTGTCTTTGGTGGATTTTCATGTTTTGGGTACTAAAGGGTAAATTTTTGACTGGGTCCAACTTTTAAGAATACATTTAAGTTTTACATATCTGGGCCCATGCATGCCATGTATCCTCTTTATCAAGGCCTAATTATTGCCTTTGGATATTCAGTTGTCTTTCTTCTGAATCAAAAAATAGCATTTCTCCTAAATGACCTTCTTTCTGCACAAGAAGCGCTCAATAGTGGTAAGTCAGACTTCCCTCTAATTTATTTTTATTCACAAGGAAAAATCCTAAAAATGTGCTTTAGTAGAATGTGTGTAGATGCAGGCTACAAATAAATACATCACATCTGTGCTCAGAATTAAATATATTTGCCAGGTAGGTGCACACATTAGAGCATCAGACTCACAGACTTTTCTGCCCAGGCAGATCTACATTTCCAAGCTTTATTTTATTAAATGATATTTGGAGGATGAACAGTCCACGACCTTACATCAATTATTATTTAAGCAATTCAAAAAGTTTCCCTTTTAAATTGTTATTTGACAAATTTATGTTACACTCTCTGAAAATTATTATTCTATGAGCTTTCATCATTCATGTTCATCAGGTTTTTATAGTGGTAAAAAATAACGACTGAGCTCGAAGCCATTCTAAATTACTATATCTCTCCCCCCTACAACACCATCCCTATTATTGTCACTCACTGTGTGTGGATCCCAACGACATTACAAGACCTATTAGAATGTGTAATGAGTCATAATCCTGCTTAATTTTTACTATTTGACAAATAGTTTAGTTTCCACTGTTTTAATGGCTGTCACACAGCAAGGCTACAGCTAAATGCATGCATCTTAAACCTTTGCACACTTTATTCAATAAAGCTTCTACTCCTACACCACCAGTTTCAGCTCTGCACTTGTAGAGCAAAAAGTTGTAGGTTCCATTCCAGTCCTTTTGTGCAAAGCATTGATGGAGCCCTAACCAAGACTGTTACCTTTTCTACTAATCTGCATATTGCTGTATGAATGCGTATATGTAAACTCTTGTGTGCGGTCAGTATGGCTGGACGAGTGTTCACAGATCCAGTGGATTTACTTAATAACCTGAGAGGATGTTGGTCAGGGTTTTGCACAGTGCAGATTGTGCAATCCTGCCAAAATAATCTCACCCTTGTACAGGTCTCATTCACACATCTTGATGACAGAATAAATGGCACAAAATCCACAATCACACTGCATGACTGTGAATGTTTTTATCCAAATATCCCGTCAGAGAGGATCAGTTTATTTGCATTTAGAAAGCATAGGTGCATCTTGTTACTTTGAAACTCTTCTCTAACTGGAAACCACTAATTAAACAATTTTCAGTTCAATGTTGTTCTCTGTATTATTCTAAGAAATCCTTAAATCTCTTTCATTAAGATAATAAAGAGATCCATTGTTCAATCCAATCATTTACAAGAAACACATGTTAAAATTGTCAAGTCAAACCTGTACTTTTGCCAAAATATAATCCTAAAGAACACTTGGTAGTATGTCTGCTATTTCCTTTTGGACAATAAGTCATTTATATTTTCTTTACAGTTTGTTTTATTATTTCACATTTAAGGTAAATATGTGTATGTCATTTCTAAAGACATGTTTCTACTCATAATACACATATATAGTAGAATTTTATCCTTAATGCAAAATGCAAGGCAAAAATATTTTAAATATTGATGATATTCTTCATTTCTCTACTCTGTTACACTTGTCCTGCATTTCTACTGTTAATATTCAAAAGACCCCTATGGTACAGTATGTCAATATATACATGTAGAGGAAGAAGGCTATCCCTTACCTCTCCTTGATGGACATCTGTTTGGAGGACATGCCGTCAGACAGTTGATCTCCAGACTCCGTGGGGGACAGGAGGTCTCCAGATTGGATGCTGTTCCTGCTGAAGTCCTCAGGGTGGTCTGGGGGTGTGGACTGAGATTTGAGAGCCTGGGGGAAGGATTGAGGTTTAGGGGGCGTCTGAGGAGGCCCCTGGGGTCTGGTCTGATGGGGCTGGGGGCCCGCCTGAGCGTGAGGCTTAGGGAGAGACTGGATCTGTCCTTGAGGTTTGGGTTGGGTTTGCAGGGAATGGGCGAACGGTTTGGGATACGTCTGTGGGGGCTGGGAGTAGGACTGTGGCTGAATGTATAAAGGTGGCTTGGGAAGGGTCTGGGGGGGCTGGAGGACGTTCTGCTGCTGATGACCACTTGAAACGTAAGACACGGTCCGGGATGATACCTTAGCTATAAGCGGCTTCAACGGACCTGGATGATCTGGCAAATCTGAAGGGAGAGTCAACAACAATTATTATTTTTCTGATTAAAATTAAGAACATCCTGTTTATTTCAATTCCGACATATGAAAATCAGTTTCCCTGCCGAAGACTAATTGTATTTCATTGCTTGTTGTCTGTTTCCTTGTTTTAAACGCTAAATTGTGATGCATTTCACAATGTTTCATTCTCTGAAGCTGTCAGGGTTCTGCCCTCTGCTTGGGTTTATTTTTAGTTTCTTTGTGTTCTGTGTCTTTGTAATTTATTTCTACCAGTGCTGAGTTCTTTATATTATTATATATTAATAATATTTATCTTTATCTCTTGTAAAAAATTAAAGTTATTTAATCTCCAGAAGTTAAACATAAATGTGTCGCTATAGAAATAATCATATTATTCATATTTGATTGCCTGAAGATGAAAGGAAAACAAGTTTGAGCTTCTGAAATAGGAATTGTTTTCATTCAGCAGTGAGTTAACTGAATATTTCAGGAAGATGTTTCTTTGTACGTCAAACAATGCTGCTGTATGAATTCAGACTGTGTTGTATTAGTGTCTGACTGTTTGCACCAAACATGCTGTAAAGAACTGAAGACCATGACTGGAAAGTATGAATCCAAATCGAATCCCGCTTTTGATTAATGACAAATGTGCTTTTATTTCTAAAGTGTACTGGTCAGTTTGCTGGTTTTATATTTAGTACTCCTGCTGTTATTTTTCATACCTGAAATTTTTAAGTATGAACAGCATCTATCTGCCCCACGACTCTTCATCAAATCGTGATTACTTAGTTTGACATCATGATAATAAATTTTAAGTTTAGATTAAATTAGACATGTGATTTAAACATCTTATATATATATTATTCCTCTATGTTAAAAAATAAATAAATAAATAAAAAGATACAAAAAAGGCACAGCGGTAAACGTTTGATCTCTTTAGGGATGACATGGCATTGTGTGAGCATAACTACAAGGGAAGGTGACCCAGATATATTTGTTCAAATGTTTTTGTGTCTTTTCTTTTATTTTTGGCTTTGTCACTACTAGATGTTTAACAATATTCCTATGATTTTTCTTAGGAATATGAAAAATAATGCAAAACAAAACATCCTTTGAATTCATGTTTAAAAACTAATTAAAACTCTTGTTCAAAGTGTTTAATTTCTGCTCATCCCTGTTTTGTTAGACGTTTGCTGATGTTTACAAAAATGTACATTTTCATTAAAATTGGTTTATAATTTCTCCTGTTTTATTGCTAATCACGACATATTCGTGCAAATTCCTACTTGTGGTGTTGGGGAACAACACCTAACAACCTATAGGACCAACTACAGTACAACATGGACTAATGTCAGCTTTTTCTTGCGATGAAGTGATTACTTTTTTTGTGTGTGTGTGTGTGTGTGTAGGGGGGCTATAAAATGTAAAATGAAATAAAATCCCGATCATGCAGACTGAAAGGTTTACAGTGTCACCAAAAGGAGAGTGACTAACTTTTTGACAGGGTTGTATTGTAGGCACTAATAAAGGCAGGGTCATGCAAAACTAATACCGGTAGCTGCTTTATTTAAGTGCATGTGTTGCCCTGTTCTCTTTCTGTGCTTTCATCTCTTTCTGCACTGCTTGTGTGCATGAATGGTAAGAAAACCCTCTCTGGACACAGTCTACAGTAGCAGATAAAAGCAGGTCAGGTCCATTTTGCTGTTGTATGTGAATGTGTGATCCACTGGCGTAAAGTGGTGCAAAGGGGACCACAGCTCCTTTATGGGTCACAACAGTGTTGGGAATACAGTTGATCTAAAATCTTTTGGGCTATTATGAGGGAAGGGCTGCTCTTTCCAGACAAAGAGATTCACGAGGTACATTCATGGAAAAATATGCTAATTAGATGCAGTCTAAAAAAAAAAACGCCTCTCTTCATCAGCCAAATCAAACACTCCCAGCTGGGATGGATGTGTGTGGAGGTGTGTGTGTGTGTGTGTGTGGATCCAGCACAAAGCAGTCATGCGTGGGAGCATGCTACTGAAGACAATGAGGATAATAGAAACAAACCCATTTTGGTTGGAATTTCTATTTTCCTATGCTTTCTTTCCTGTTTTTTTTTCTCTATATATATTCACATATCTGTTTTTTGGTTTATTCCAAAATGCACATCTTTTCTATATAAGTCAGATATATTTCTTACCTGAGATGCCTCCCTGGGTTCCCTTCAGCTCCTGTGTGGAGGAGCTGTAAGCTGCTGCAGCCTCTATCAGTTGTCCTCCTTTTCCTCTTATTCTCTCCCCACCCTCCTGGGAATCTGCAGCTCTCCTGGTGTTCAGAGGCTCCTGCTCTCCCCGCCACAAAGAAGGCTCAGCAGCGTGCTGAGGATGCTGCAGCTGGTCCCCTCTGTCCCTGTCAGAGGAGTGCAGCTTCTCCTGAACACAGTCTTCTCTGGCTCCTCCCTGCTCTCTCCCTCCAGCTTTCTTCTCCTCTACTTGCTTCACTTTCCAGACCTCTGCCGGTGCCTCTCTCTGCTGTCTGTGACCCAGTAAGGATGGAGGGAGAGCAGGAGGGGCCCCTTCTTTCTCTGGACTATCAAGAAGGATGGGGGAGGAATCAGGCTCCCCCTCACTGTGGCCTTGGATCCCCCTCTTGGTCAGTGAGAAATAGCCTGCCGCCCTCTCCTGGTGGATGTTAGTGCTGCTGGGGGCCTGTTGTTGGGCAGGGGCATACGGGATGGCAGTCGATTTCTCTGGATGAAAACCATCCCTGTCGCTGCTGTGTGGGGCCATGGTTACCATGGTGACGGAGGCCTGCGAAGTGACGGCTGCTACAGATCGAACCAGGGAGGCTGACAGCGGCTCCAGTTTAATTTCACCTCCGCTTTTTACCTAAAAATGTAGCAAAAGAAATGCTTAAAAAGACTTAGGCTGCCACACATGACAAGATGGCTTTTAAGCAATTTAGCTGGAATATTAAACACAAAGAAACCCCATATTTGCTTTGGTTGTTTAAGAAACCCATTTATTCTTATTATAATTAAACTGAACTAAAGTTTTTTGCTCTTTGAGGTCAGTTATAAATACACATTTTAACTCCTGAATACCACACATTTAGAGAAATGTTGATAATTTTCTTTTGTTCTTTTTTGTTATTTACTATTAAAAAAACCAATAAAAAAACCATGCAGAATAAAATGATCGTCAAGATGCAAGGAAGACAAGAATCCCAGAGGAGCTTATAGAGTTTCCCTAATTAAGATGATTGGCTTGTTGGTTAGCATTTCTGCACATTAATGAGCACACAGAAGGACAAAACTGCATGAACAGATATTATACTACTAAACAAAGGCCCCACAAAAAAATAAAATAAAAAGTAGGACAGAAAACATTGTACTATGAAGTACATCAAATGAAGATAATTTCTGCACTGGAAGGTGTGAGTTGGATTATTGAATAAATACTGTTTGACTGCCTGTTTGAATACATTGGGTGAGAAATTCAAGAAATGCAGAGGAAGCTGATTAAAAAGTTTAGCTCCTCTGAAGTGACGACTAAATTGAGATAAAGATGTGCCGGATGGCTGTAAAACTTTAATTTAATTTTTTGAGTTGTATAATCATCATTTTTTATGTTTTTATTAATCTTTCTAAAATATTAAATATTTTAGAAAACAGTTGATTAATTTTCTTTGTACACAAATTGGAATAATAATACGGAATAAACAATATGAAGAAATTTTATCTAAACTACACTTGGAGGAAACTCCACTTTGAAAAAAAAATTGCCCTTGCCCACCCTTTTCCCGGTTCCGGGGGGGGACGGCTTTTTGGCCCGTTGTGGTTGCTTCCGGGGGTTTTTTTTTCTTTTTTTTGGCTCTGTTTAAAAGTTGCAGTTTGCATCGCTCATACAAGCTTACTTTCTAAAAGAACATTTGCAATGTTTCCACTATTGCAGACTCACCACCAGTAAGTGAAATGACCCACCCGGAAAAAGAACATCCTCCACTATACCCTTAATTAATCATGCAGTAGGCCTACTCCAGAGTTCAATTCCCGATATCTTGCTTAAATTCTGTTGATTTGGCCATTGATGCTTCAAGAGGCAGACAGTAGCGTTGAAGCAGAGGTGTCACACTACTTAAGTTAGAAAATAGTGAACCAAACCTATCAGGAGCTTATAGAAAACATGACATCGTCATAGGGAATTTCTCCAAATTCTTGACAGGCAATTTAATCTCATTGTATGTAAAAAAAAAAAAAATAATCTCATTGTATGTAAAAAAAAAAAAAAATTTTTAAATCCCTTCTTTTAGGACAATCTTCATAGTGTATATGTAGAATATTATAGTTAAGAGAAACTGCAGTATCATTAGTGAGTTATTAGTTGGTGCACAATTACAATATATAGGGTACCATGTGTTGCTAATGTAATGTAGTGTTATTCTACTTAAATAAGGCTGAGAACGTAATGACCAGTATTGGCAAATCCCAATTCCTGAAATGACTATGATCAGCGCACGGAAAACAAAACATGGTGATCAGAATATTCCTCTGAATAAAAAGATAAATAAATGCACAAGACAAAAAAAATATTGAATACTTTCCCACTTCAAAATATGCCATACTTGTCCGACAAACAAGCATGTCTTAGAAGCACCTGTATCCAAAACATCCAAACAAACACAGCATCCTAGCCTCATGTCACATGCTGCATGTAACATTTAGCATTTATCGTGCTTAAGACATAAAGGCCACTACCAAATAAAACACAGACAATGTTCACGATCATGACCAAACAGGTCAATAGAAAGCCAGAACCAGACATGGACAGCGCAGGTTCTTACGTGTTCTCCCTGAGGGGCGTCTAAGTCCCTGTTACACACCGCAGAGGTTACAGTTTCCTGTGTGGACACCAGTTATTGATCATGACTCACTATTGACAAAATGATGATGACACTGGGTTTTTTTTAACATCAGGCATTCTGTCTCTACTGAAGTATTTTTATAAATCACACAGCTTTTCTTTGAGGTTCTGCCTCCCAACAACAAGCATTGCAATCACTCCCTAACAAAAAAAGATTGTAGGTCAGAATTTGATTTGTTTCTATAACATTAAAATTCAAGTAAACTTCTCTATTTTAAACAGAACAGGCACATTTTCCAAATGTATCACAATAGATGACAATTCTAAGAGTGATTATGTGATGAAAAATACAGATATATTTAAACACACACAGATTAATTGGTTTTGAAACCACTCTACCTGCGCTACTTCTCCCAGGGTGATGGGTTGGGTTTGGAAGCGGGTGTTTGCTCTTCGTTGGCGAGTGTCCCCACGAGATGCTTCTGCTGGTTTGTCTGTGGGTTGGGCGAGGCGGTTAAAAAGAGCCATTTTCTCAGAAAGGCTGAGGGTTGAAAAGTCCGGCTCCTCGGGCAAAGGCTGTTCGCCATTTTCCTCTCTGCCAGCCGGACTCCGTTTCTGGATATCCTGTGTTTCCGTCCCCTGCTCTTGAGCCAAGGAGCTTGGTTGAGAAGAGGCCTTAATGCTGCGGATGTGAAGGTAATATATCAGAAGCTTCTCAGAGGAATATAAATAGCACACCTTGAACCTTTTCCCCCTGCCATGAGGGTGAAACGTTTTATTACTAAATATCAGACAAATGACAGTTGAACAAAAATTCAATCTATTAGACTCCTAGCTTCCCTCCAAACAATAGTGAACTTTCACCTACGTCCGCCCCATATCCTCTCCTATGTCTGAGACTGTTCTCAGTCCACCTCACCTTCTCCTTTATTCTACCACCAGTGTCTGGTCCCTGGGGGGGGAGAGACTACTCTAATCCTTTCCCTACTGTATATTATTCATCCAAGCAAATTTCGATTCACAGCATCAAAGTCTTCTGCCGGGGCCCAAGCGGCAAAAATCGTACTTCAATCATGTCAATAAAACTTTCCTAATTGCAGCGTTTCTCTTTCTCTCCAGGTTAAAATTATAGTAGACATAATAGAAAATAAGAAAAATACAAAAAATTGGCCATCAAGAATAGAATTTCTGCTCTGATTCCTCCCTAAATAATAAAGCATAAACAAGTGTGCCTTACCCGATTGTTCCAACTGTCTCAGATTACAAGACACTGTACCAGAGCCATAAGTAGATCAGTGTACGTATGCCAGATTATAATATAATGCACCTGCATGTCTGCAAGGGTTACAGTAATCCCTCTGCTGTGCTGATAAAAACTTGATAAATAAAAACAAATCATAAAACTCAGGATTTCAAACACAAAAAAGCTCAAACTTTAACCTTTTGCATGGTAGCAACCTCCTGCATAAACATTAATAGTATCTGCTGTAAAGGCAGCATGCGTTTGAAAAACATTAAGTAAACAAAGAGAGGAAACACATTTGGGTGAGCTTAAAGTGCATGTCCTTAAAACAACCAGCAGGGGGAGGTAAATATGCACATCATCTGTTGCAGATTGATTTAATTGTTACTTTGAATTGTAAAACAGGGCAAAAACTCCACTCCATTGATTTGAGCATTTACTCAACAGAAAAAAGATGTTAATATTATGTAACATAAGTTGATAAAGTTTCTTAAAAAGGGTTACAGTTTTCTTTTTTTGTTTTCTTTTTCTCTTTTATTTGATTTGTAGATTGAAAGTTAATGGTTGTCATCATTGTACAGAAAGCACAACTGTTTCTTTTACATACTGGCATGTATTTAAGTATATATTTGTACAAACTACATTCAATAACAATATGATTTGGTGCATATTTAAGCAAATGTATAAATTCAAGAGATATTTAATCCCAACATCCCTTCTTATTTGCACCAGTGCACAAAAAATATCCATTACTTAACATGGTCACATTTTTTTTCAATTAAATTCCTATTTTATATTTGAGGGAAATGTTGTTCCTTAAGAACAAAACATATTTTTTATCTTTGATAATTCCTTCTTCTGTCGTGTTAGTGCCAAAAGACAATTGCAACCTGATAAATGTTTGCAAATTCCTCACATTGCTGCTTCATATCCATATTTGCTTCTACATTGGAGCAGTCAGACACATAGTATACAGTTCAAAACATGTTAAAACCATAGAGTCATTCCATAGCTCTGTAAATGGTTAAAACATTTTCATAAAACGAAAAAGAGCAGCTAAAAATAAAGCAAAACAACTGTGGATCTATAAACATTAGAATTGTGTTAATCACCTAAATAAAATAAAGTAAATGGCTTTGAAAGTCGAGCTAATCCTTCAATGCCCTGTTTTCATCACAATTTCTCTAGGTTAAAATAAAATAAAAATATATCATGAATTATTTTTTAAGTATAGAGAAGCTAAATCCTTCTGCAGGAACATTAGGGCACCGCTCAGTGTTTTTGGCGTTTTATATGAAATTTATTTAAATCTGACATTTTGAAAAGCTCAGTTTATTTTCAGTCTGTTAACAAATTTTTGTTTAAAGTGTATGAATGAGTCATAATTATCATCCTGTTTGAAGTATCATTATGTTTACAAGTTGTTGTGTTACCTCATAGAAACAATCTAATAGTGTTAATTACTTCTATGCTTAAAATAAATGATTGAATATTAATTATTATTCTGTGAGACAATATTGTATAGATCAAAATAAAACCAGATATTTCCCTGGGCATATCACAATATTTAAATAAGATGTTCAAATGATATATTGGAAAAGATATGCGAGCATTGCAAGAAGGCCACGCCCACCTGATGCTAGTTAGACTATTGCTGGCTACCATAGGGCTCCGGGCTTGATTTGGACTTGTTTGCGCCCCCTGTGGTTGGTCACTAAAAAGTCGAGACAAATAGACAAAGCTATATTTGTTACAAAAGAAACAGGAAATGTAGATGAAGGAGGAAAAAAAATAAAAGTTAGATTGACATTTACCTGGAAGCATTGACCACCTCTTTGCTGGTCACAGGTTGTGTGTGAGAGCGGTCCTGAACTCTTCGCAGGCGTCGCTCTATGGCAGCATTCCTTGAGCGCGGTTTGGGAACACCTCCCTCAGATGTTTTTTCTAACTCCTAAAAAGAGGGAATGCCA